TAGGATTAAAATTTTAGCGATAGAATTCTTTGGTTTATTCTTTCGTCTAACGAAGAGTAAGACTAGGAAATTGGTCATGTCGACATTACAATGTGTACATTCTTACAAGGAGATGCTGGATAGACAGACCACTGCAGTTTAAATTATAGGGCTGTGTGAAGTTCCGTTGCATTTGTTTATTGTTTGTTTGGTTGTTGTCATTTCAATCTTCATGTTACCTAATTACTTTTTCTTTCATGTTGCTTATAAATGATTCTAAGTTTTGTTAAATTTATTATAGTTTCAGTTATAGCAGATCAAATGAATAATTTACAGTTTCAAGGTAGGTTTCTTTGTTTTCATGGATATGAAGAAAATGAATATTCTATTTTTGATGTTGATACAACTGAACAGAGTGCTATTGCAGATTTTGGACCAAGCACGGTTAATCCAAATAATGATCCTCGACCTCCGGGTGAACTTGGAGATCAGTCCTATGTAAGTGATATAGACTATGAAGATTGTATAGTGTTACAAAAATTGTTAAAATTCTACCATATGCAGATTAGCACCGAGAATCTATCAGTCTCAATTTTTGATTTATCATTCGAATAATTTGATTCTTTTAAAACATCTGACATTATTTGCATTCAGCGTTTATATTGTTAGAAACAAATCAATTGGATTGTTAGGAAGCGTTTTTGTTAAAAATTTTCCCTTTGTTTATATGTCGTTAGTGCAAAATTTAGTGAAAATATAGTTTGTGGTTTATTTTTTCTAATAATTTTTACAGCTGTTCACTTCTGGTGGAACAAGTAGTCGAAATAATACAAGAGAAAACAAGAATTTTTTTTCATTCGAATTTTATCAGCAGTACTTTGATGTTGACACTGATCAAGTTTGTGTTCCGGATCTGATTTCTTGCTTTTAATTTTAAGTAGCATCTGGTAGAGTTATCTTGTATAGAATTTTCAAAGAAAGCACTGCATTTATTTCTATTTTTCTATTCTTTTGTTTGCTATTTTTTTAGGTATTGTCAAGAATTTTGTACAGTATGTTTCCACAATTTGGGTCAAATTTTATCACTGATCACATCCAACCGCTTCCAGATTTATGGGGTACATTATATTTATTCAGTTAGCTATGTTTCAGTACTTTTCTACATTTTTATAGCTGTTTTCAGGGCCCTTTTGGATATCCGTTACTTTGGTATTTTCTACAGCTATTTGCGGTAATCTTGCAAAATATATTCAAACATCAGGCGCTAGTACAGGTTATCAATATGGAAGTGACTTTAGATTAGGTGAGAATCTTGGAAATTTAATAGCCAGAGTAAAATCCGAAATATTTCATACTTACTGTTTGGGATCATCAATAATTTTTAATTTTTAGTTACTGGTGCTTCAACAATTATTTTTTGCTATGTCATATTGGTACCATTCATTCTTTATTCCTTGTTTTGGTATCGCAAATCATATTTGCAATATTCATATTTGGATATACTTTGCGCTTATGGCTACAGTCTATCAGTCTTTGTTCCTGTATCGGTTTGTATAAAAACCATCTTGCATATCTAATTTTTGATGGAAGTATAAAATATTAGAATTGTTTTACCAATATTTGTTTGCAATCATTTGCGATTTCTCATTGTAATTATATCCAACAGTTTCAAACATATTCATCGATTTTCCAACACTATTTTTTGGTGATGGCGCTTTTCTACTGATCATTTACTTACCTGTTGTTATGGGCAAATATAAACTAATGCTATCTGCGACATTAGTACCATCTGTCTGAATTGTTTTATTAGAACACGGTAGCAACTGCTATTTTCCATTTTCAAGAATATTGTAACAAAATCAACAGTGTCTTGAGTTTTCCTTGTCGATGTCTTTCAGGTTCTCTGGGTTTTACAAGCACAGTGGTTTCGTTGGCTGCTTATAATTTTATCAGTTGCAGTAAGTGGTTCAGTGCTTGCAAACAGTATATGGCCTGTCATTAAAAATGATCACAATAAAGCAGTAAGTAAAATATTTGGTCCGAAAAATTGTATTAAATTTAATATCGGTCATTTTTTGTTTACTCTAATGGTATAATTACTGGATAAATTATGTTACGTTTGATTGAGTTTCTGAAAAGCTAAAGGTCGAGTTTCTTGATTTCAATTTCAGTTTCAAAAATGTTGCGAGAAACTCAGTTTTTTTTCCAGATTGCTTTGGGAACAATACTTATCGTTTTGCTGTTGCATTCATTAGTTGCAGTTGGCTTTAAAGAGTATTATTTCGACGCATCCTTACCAAGCAAACTTGAGACCGAGAATTTTCACCTATTACATCAGCAAGTTCTAAATATTGAGCATTCACATGCACGTTTGGAAGTTAGTTCTGTGGTGAACAATTTAACGGCGTCAAATGAAGAAAAAGTATCTCAGATCAAAATGGAGAAGTTGGACGAAAACAATGAAAATATTAAAAAGAAGGAAGATGATGCTGGAATAGAAAATATGAAGCAATTTAATGCCACTGTAGCTCCAAAAGTTGTGGCAAAAATTTCGAAATCTATTTAGTTATTTTATAATTTATTCAGTAACGTTGTTTTTATTAATTGGCTGTAATTAATTGCTTAGCTCGGTTGGTGCAATTTTAAGTTTTTTTTTTTTTTTTTTGTGAATGCATTTTGGTAGTTATTTTTGAATGAACATTGTTTATCAAGAAATATAGCTTGAGCTAAGGATATTGTCGTACAATCTTCTATTGTTTATTTCTTTTTGAAATTTTCCATCCTGAAAGTTATTTGCTTCTGTAAATAATGTTCTAAGCTTATGTTTATTGGCATTGTTTTCTTTTTCAACGCGTCATATTGCAACTAGAATTATTTTATTGTAAAAGTTTCGGACGTTAGCTATCTTCTCGGCCTTATCAGTTAGCTGTTAATATAACAGATTCAATCATAAGGAATCTTATACTTTTATATATTTAATTTTTTTTTTCAATTCTTTCATCTTATTGGAAATGAAGAATTGATAAATAGATTAATCAATGGTCATGGGTAGTCTTTTTGAATTTTTTTAACGATATGATTTATTTCGAGCCGCTGATTACTTTTGGTTTTATTATATCGCTCAAAAGCATTATCAACAATATTCTCCTGTTGAGCAATGTAGTCCATTGTTAAAAATGTTTATCACTTTAGTGCATCGGTTGAATTGGAAGGCGGTGGTTTGGGACAAGTTTAATAATTTTTGATGCAGTCACTGGCTAATAAAGGTTTTGAGAAACTGATTTAAAATTTTTGAGGGAAATATATAATCCCAATCAATGTGAGCTTGAGTTATTTAATATGGAATGCATTATAAGATTTTGCGATGACTTAGCAATTGAAGATTTAAATAAAACTTATGAGGAATGACATAGTTCATTCTCAGATCTGTTATCAATTGCTTAGATGATTATTGATTACTGTGCTAACTCAATGGCAAAAGTAATTCTCATCTGTAAATTTTAATAATCTGAACATAAAATGATCTAGATTCACTGTATTTTACTATATATAAATTGAAATAAATATGTGGTAATAAAAATTAGAATATAAGTGCAGTCATATCTTTTTTTTCGATGTTTATTAAAAAACAAATTCTGAACGTTTTTTAATAAAATTTCAAAAGTCCGGTAATAATATATAAGAAATTATTTATTAATTTCTGATTGTACAACTTAGTACCACGCAAAAGCAGCATATGACCAAAAAAGAAACACAAACGAGGTAAATTTCAGCAATTTCAGGTGAGGAAGAACAAAATTTGTTGAATGTTGTTTTTGTAAAATCTTTCTTTAAATATTAAATTTTCAATTAGGAAGGATTACGCTATAATTTTCTGCAAAATGAGGGTAGATGAATAAATGAATAATTTGTTAAAATTTTTACTTAATTAATTATTAACAGAAATTTTAGTTCGGAATTCGAGTTAAAAAAGGATAGATCGGCAAGTGAAATAAATCATTTCGAATGTTTTAGTTTAGTTAATTCGATTTTCTTGCTACAAAAAAAAAAATTTTTTTTTAGTAAATTTAGTTTCTAATGCAGCGTAATTTGTCTATATATATTCATTATCAACATGATTAAAAAATTTTTTGGATTGAGTTATAGCTACAAATATCAAAGATCTCGTAAGGTATGAATTAATTCAATTCCGATTAAATAATTTATTCCAATATCAACCCCCAATTCATGCTGGACTTCTGACCTTTCACTTTGTCTTATATGGAACTTTCAATACATCCAAATTTATCAAATGATAAAAAAAAAAAAATTAATTGGAGAACAGATTAAGTCTCTTTTTTGTTTTTGCAATAAATCAACTATACAACAAAACATTTTCTTTTGTCTTAAATTAAAATAAAACTTAGATTAATTCATTTATTCAATAATTGAAATAGTATTTCAGGTAAACAATACTATAAATAATGTATTTCCAAATTAATTTCTTAACATTAACTACTGATAAATGATAAAAAAATTATTTAATGAAGAAAGCATAAATATTATAAATTAGCCTTCAGAAATGTTTAATAATGATTTTGTTGAAAAAAAAAAAGAAAACGGGAAACAATAATTTCACAAAAATTTTCGAACAAATAACTTTAATCATTTATTTTCTAGTTTTCATTTCAATTTTTTATGTTTTACAATCTTGAATCTTATTGTTTCATATAATTAATAATTTTTCATAAACGTTGTGATATATAATATTTTACTGATAACGAGGATTTTCACCTCAATGTTAACATTTCATATATTAGTTAAAATTATTGAAATTAATTTTAATTATTCACCTGAATTATTAAATCTAAGCCATTGAGTTTATAACTTAGTTTCAATGCAAAATTCATATTATAGAAAAATTTTCTGAATTATTATCCATAATTTTGCAATGTTCTTTCAATATTTAATTAAATTTAATATTTAATATTCAATTAATCGAAAATTCAATTTTTCTTTTTTTTTCGTTTTTGTCTTTTCTTTTAGAAATTGCAGCTAATATAAAGACGTTTGCCAGTATCATCCACTGATAATAACATCGCTCGATTAGCCATTTTTTCCAAATGTATTTTACAACCATTTGGATTTTGCAAATCATAAATAATTGCATCCTAAAATGGTAATTTAATTTTGCAAATTACAAATAATGCTATTAAAAAGTTGAATTTTTATTCTTTGACTCATAAATAATTGTTAATATAATAAGTAACTTTAACATAATTTAGTAGATTACCACTCTTCAAGTGAAAATTTGATTCTATAAATCAATAATTATCGCATTTCAGAGTAAAAATTTAGGTTTGTAAAGATTTAATTGCATAATACAAATAAACAATAAAATAAATTTGTAAATTTTGTCAAAAGGATTGTCGAATGAAAAATTATATTAAGAGATGACAAGAATCAATGTCAAATTGAACAGGCAGTAAAACATAGAATTAATGAAAAAGTTTCAAAATATTTAAATTTACATATGAACTCGAAAAAAAATTCAAAACGATTTAAGAATGTTTAATATAATCTAAAATTCAATTTAATTTCATATTTTAAACAGTCTATTTTATACTATCCAAATATAATGAATTTGATTATAGCTTAACAGACAAATTTTTTTTTAAAAGTTTAAATCCTTAATTTTATAGCTCTAGCATTTTCTACAATTGCGAATAAGAAAATTCGATTTAGAAAAAAAAATGATAATAATAATTGCAAAATTTAGATTTAAGAATTTCAAATTTTATTCATTTGAATTCATTCTTGCTTTTTTTCGAATATGTTTCTTTTATTTTCTTTTGGATACAAAAAATTATTAACTAAATTTGTTTTTCTATTCAAAAGCTAAAAATTATTGTAAGCATTTCTGAATAAGTTTTATCCATTAGCATAGAATAATTTACTTCTTTACTTTTCTATCCTTTTATTTATTTATTTTTTTCAATAAAAAAATTATAAAATAATTATATATAATCAATAAAAGTCAAAAAAAAATGCAAAATAGAATTTTAAAAATAAAAACAAACCGGATCACTCCTGGATTTTAAAATGGATAATATATTTAAAAAAAAACAAACCGGATCACTTCTGGATTTTAAAATAGATAATATATTATTGTTGCCAAGGTTAAAATTAGTTTTTATGCCATCATCAAATTGACTGATTGATTTTGTGCTTGATTTTAACGATTTTGAGCTTGAAATACTTTCAGTCAAACTCTGTTCATCACTTTGTGACTGTTTGCTGATAGTCGTTGCTGAATTCGAACTAAAATTGATACTAATTAGAGTTATGAATGAATCATTTCATTAATTAATTTAAGCTTTTTTTCTTGCTTCTATCATAGAGTATGTAACATTGATTTTGATCGATTATTATTCATAGTAAATTATTTAAATAAGAAAGAAAATATGCCAATAAAAGAAACTAAATTTAATAAATTTTATTCCCTCTCTTTTTTCTTATTTTATTTTAATTCTAATTTAATTTCTAATTTAATTTAGTTACAATAAACTATCGTAAACTTACCGTTTTGATTGTTCAGTCTGAAAAAAAAGCAAGAAAATGTGTTCATTGATATTTTCAATTATCCATTAAAAAGCCTTATTACTATTAATAATGCACACAGTTAAGGACAAAAGTAATTTCTTAATTTTTAGCGCAAAATTTCTTTTCAAAAATATTTGAGTAAATATTTCATCGTAGTCAGTCGATGTGAATTTTTTTAAATTAATATTTCATCTATTGAATCTTGCAATTTGTTTGTTTAGCTATGATCACATTGTCTTATTTCATTTTTTTTTGCTTAGAAATGCTTCGTTATGTCAGATGGCGCATTTTGTCGATAAAATTTTTTTGTATTTATACTTATATTTACATTTGAATTTATATTTATGTAAAAAATCATACCAAACATTTAGAATTATCTTCGCGTTTACGTGAAATATTCTCGGAACTCATTGATTTCCTGAAAATTACATTACAATCAGAGCGAATCATTCAAAAATACAATTAATGAAATTTAATTGCTTTTTCATCTTGCAATTCTAAGATATTTAAATTATTGTGCATTTACAGAACTAAAAATTTTAAATAACTGAAATGTTTTGGTATTCAAAATTAATTTGTAATTGAAAATCCTTTTTAGGAATTTCGTTTTCTTTTTTTGTATTTTGTATGTTTTAATTTTTTTTTTTAATTTAAAATTTCGCATCAATAACATATGCCACAATTGAATATGATCGATTGTTTGAATTATTTTTATTTTTTAAGTAAAGATAATTCAAACTTTACTTTTTAAGAATTATCTTTACTTTTTGCCTTAATTGAATATGGACGCTTGTTTGCATTATCTTTACTTTTTAAGAATTATCTTTACTTTTTAAGATTACTTAGATATAGTAGTAGAAAGTTTTGTAAAGAAAGTTAAGAGTACTGCAATTGAATTGGTAAGGAAATTTAATCCAATTTATTTTATTTTTATTTTACTTTTTTTTTTATGTTTAAAAAGAAAAAATAATCAAGCGAAGCTGAATAAATGCAAAATAGAATACATACCCCGTGGTAAGCCTAAGCCCATAAGTTTGGGCAAGCACAAATGATTGGTAAAACAAATTTTAAAAAGTGATTGAAATTTAATTTCGAATTGACGCAATCCTTTTCCAATTATTATAGATATATTTTAAAAGAAAAAAACAATTCAATGAAAAAGAATAAATGCACATCTAATGCTCAAATGCTACAAAAATATTTCTAAATTAATGAAAATTAAAATTAATACTAGCGTTTAATTTTAACCTCCGTTTTTTAATTTTAATTTATCTTTTCTAAAAGTTTTTTATTAAACTACTTGCAAAATTAAAGAGTAATGAAGTAATGGAAAATATATAATTTAATATTTGATGAAATAAGTAAAAAGAAAAAAAAAGATAAAGTTTTAAAATGGATAAAACTAAAATTATAACATTTTATACCTTTTTTTCGTCTTTTTCTTCTTCTCAATTAATTCATCATTTTCTTGTTTACTTTGACTTTTCATCTATAAATAGTTACCTTACTATCTATGAAATGATTAAATTTAATTTTAAATTTGATTAATAATATACAAAAACCAAACTTTTTTATTATCTTCTAATTTCTTCTTTCTTCCATTCCTATCTTTTCTATTATCCTTTTGAATTTGTTGCTTTTTTTCTTTCAAATTTGATTTTTCTTCAGCAATTTGCTGAGCGAAATTTTTTTCAGTACTTTGTATTTCTTCCGGTGCTATCGGTTCCATCGAATGTCTAATATTACTATTCTAAACAATGCAAATTTGTTAAATACAGAAATAAAAAAATTAAAAAATTCATTCGCTGTAATTTTCGAAAAAAAATTTAGTTCATTTTAAATTAAATTAAATGCTTAAATAGCAATAAAGATTGAAATAAATAAAAAAAACTCATCTTTTTTTTTTTGAAATAAGTTCAGAATAGTTCAAATTGAAAATATTCGTAAATTTAAATTATTCAGAATTTTGAAAGAAATTTTATTGACTTTTAAATTATATCGCAATGATAAATCACATAGCTAATCATATTGTTAACGTTAGTAACAGAAAAATTAAGCTTTATTTGATGGTTAATTTATCATTAAGTTTTAATTTAAAATTAAAATGAAAAAATACCAAATCAAGTGAAGAAGAATGAGTGATTGATTGCCCGGAAAATTGGATTGGTTTCTGATATCGCTGATAATTTCTTAATTTTTCACCTAATTTTTTGAAAAATGCTGCTGTTACTTTCCTATAAAATTTAATTGAAAAAAAGATAAAGTGATAAGTAGATTTTGGGAAAACTTTCTTCAATTTTTTATATTTTATATTTGATGCAGCAATAAACTGAGTGTGAAATACGTGACATACGTGTACGTACGTTTTGCCTAATCGATCTTGCATAGATTCGGAACTTGTCATTGCGATTCGTCACTTTTTTATTTATTTATTTCCTGATTTCAAACTTAGCAACAACCGTTTTATGATCAATTGCTTTTATTTTATTATGTATTTATTTGATGAAAAAAAAAATTCTATATGAAATTAAATTAAATTTAAATATGTAAATTCCTGCTAAAGAAATACTAATTTTAATGAATATTTTATGGAATAAAAATTAAAGAGAAGATTTGAATATTTTATGGAAATTAAAGACAAAAAGAAGAAGAATAAAAATTAAAGAGAGAAAAAGTTTAAATGAATATTTTATAAAAAGAATCCTATGTCATATTTTTTAATAATGTAAGAATAAATGAAAGTGGCTAATTTAATGCTAAGTAATGATATGGAAATAATATTTTTTGAGATTTCATGCAAACATACATTATCAATGTTTTTATCTTCAACCGGATCCGGAATGAAGTTAAATACAGCTTTGATCATTTTAAAAAACTTTAAAAAAAAGCTCTCTAAGCTTCATAATATTATTAAGTTAAAAAAAGAAGAAGAAAAAATATGAAATTTAAAATTTAAACGCATTTAAGTATATGAAATAACAGAACGTTAATGACAACTTGGCTAATATTTTGGCTTATTTGATTTATCGAAAATTATATAACTTAAAAGAGAAATATTATTATGTTCCATAATTATGTGATTTCAGTAATTAAGTTAAAATTAAGTTTAAAGTTTATGCTTATGAATAATACTATTTTATCTTCATTGCTTATAAACAATATATGCATTAATAATAATAATAATATGTACAGTTAACGGACTGATAATAAGATTTCATCAAAGTTTTAACTTTAAAATTTTATTTTGCTAATTTTTGAATTTTTGATTTACTTAAAGTAAACAAACAATAAACTTTATTATTTCTGCATTTTAATAAAATATTCACTGATTTGTTACAGAAATGATTCATTTGATTAAAATTTATTAGTTTAACTCGTTTTCTTCGATTTCCTGTTTGGAACTGTTTTCTTCCGTGTAACTTTATTGAGTAAATGTCGATTACGTCGTGAATTTTTATATCGGACGTACGTGTGATCTGGTTGCAATAATGTATGAAAATATTCATCAGATGGTAATAATTCAGCTTCATCCGGTGTATATATTTCTGCCTCTTTAAAACTGTGTGGCTTTGATGATGGTTCAGCTGATTCAGCGTAAACGTAAGAAGTACGCTGAGGACAAGGACAGTACGCAGCGTCAACACCTGGCGTTCCTGGCTCACCGGGCTACAAGTATTACCCAGTTATTATTACTAGTCATGAAAAATTATTCAATTCATAAATAATTTATGATAATTATTTTTATCGTTTTATTTATTACTACTAAATGATCTTTTTAAGATTTATTATCAAATAGCATTCCTCAAGTTAATTTTTTTTTTTAAATTAATGAAAGGCAATCATTGAAGCTAGCTTATAAAAATTGAATGAAATAAAACCAACCTCTCCTGGTGGTCCTTCTTGTCCTGGTGGTCCTGATGCACCAGGAGGTCCCTGCTCCCCTGTTAAACCCCTGTCTCCTTCTGGTCCTGGTTCACCGTCTTCTCCAGGAGGACCTATTGATCCTTCAGGTCCGGGTGGTCCCTTTGGTCCTGGTGTGCCGTACATGACTAGCATTGATTCACCCATTTTTCCAGGTGGTCCAATTGGTCCAGGTGGACCTGAATATTTTGACTGTAAATTATCTTGCTATTCAAATGAAGTTACAAAAATATCGGATCTCTAACACTTACCAGGTAAACCTTGCTCACCAATTGGTCCTCTTTCTCCAGCCATGGCAGGATTACCATCAGGACCCGGTTGACCAGGTATTCCTGGTGGACCTTCTTCACCCATTGGCCCTGGTTCACCAGGTGGTCCTTCAGGTCCCGCTGGACATTCGATGCAAGTTGTATATTCATCCACTTCCAAGTCAAACAGAATAGTTGTACCATTTACTCCAGGTTTACCTGGTAGACCAGGTTGTCCATCAACTGAAATTATAAAACACTGTGTGTGAACACCGATCATTATTCGTACTTTTCAAAACTGTTAACTTTGTAGTATAGTTTGTTATTATATTATTCATTTATTATTTAACACTTTCAATATTTTTATTTAAAGTAAAAATTTTTTTTAAACTTTTATAAATTTTTAATTGTGTAAACAATGTCTTACAATATAGCATTCATTTTGATCAACAAATAAACTTACTTCCTGGTGTGCCAGGTATTCCAGGTGGACCTTGTGGACCAGGTGGACAATTATTTGGTTGTGATGAACATGCTATAAGGAATATTATCATCAATCAACAAAAGTTATTCTTTCTAAAATAATTTAAAATTAAATTTTACATTAAATATAAAACTCAAAAATTTTCTTACCACATTGTGATCGCTTAATGTGATTATCATATGCTTGTCGATAGATTCGTTTCGATCTAAATAGCTCCGATAATGTTAACTTTGAGGTACTATCTACATTTCTTTTATTTTTTACCGAACGATATTTCATCATTTCCAACCATGCATCATTTGCTATTGTCTAAAATATATTAAACTTTTAAATTTTTAAGCTAATACTGCAATAATTAAAAAAATAAAATTACTTAAATTAATATAAATTATGTACTGTGAATAATTAAATGAAATATGTTAAAATTTCATATTATTAATGAAAAGAAACATTTTATTCGTTCTTTTTTTTTTCATAAAATTTAATTATCAGAAGATAATTATGGAATAATTGCAAATAAAATACCATTTCAAAATATTAGCATTTCAGGCCAAATTTTCTTAGTGAATTTGATTATTTCTTAAGGTAATTATCTTAAGAAATATTAAAATTACTTAGAGATATTTGTTGAAAAAAAAAAATTATTTACTGAATTAAATACAAAAAACTATTTACTGAATAAAATACATTAGTTTTTTTTTTTCGGATTAAAAATTTTTTATTATTATTACCTTAAATTCATCCATACCATCGAGTATTTCATAGTATAAAGCATTAACATCATGAAATAGCATTGCACATGTTATCAGTGATGCGATGATTACTAGTAGACTAGCAACTGATAAAATACAAACCCAAAAATGTGCTTTTTTCATAATACTGAAATTAATTTTATGATAAAATGTCAAAACTTGATGAATTTTTTTATAAGGCAACGAAAGAAATAACTTTAATTTTTAAATTAAGTATAATAATGGAGGCATTTTTTTTTGATAAAAAGATAGGTAGCATTTTAATTTATTTAAAAATTCAACAATAAAATAAAAGCATCGTATGTTGAATAATTCCAAAAAGAAGCATAATTCAAATTTCATAAGCATAATTTAAATTTCGGAAACGAAATTAGAAATACTCGTATCATAAATTATCAAAATTGTTGAAGCGAATAATCGGATTGTTATCTCGAGATTACGGCATGTCGAGAACATTTCTATTCATTAATTCATCTTAATGCTAATCTCAATTGCAATTTGCACAGTTTGAATTAGTATACAAATGCGAATAAATAATAAAAATGTCATTGTTTGAAATAAAAATGTCCTTTGATGTCACTGTTCGACCTACAAAATTTTATTGACCGACAAATAAAACTTAGATAAATCCCAAAATAATTCCGAAAATTTTAGATATGTACTGTTCTATTATATTTAAGTAATTAATATTATTTGAAAATGTAATTAGTATTATTTGAAATCAAACATTTATAAATTACTTACTGTTGCACAATTGAATCTATAAATAGTTTATATTAATTGTTTTATGCCTATTTCTTGTGCTAATTGTAACAGCATTTTAATAAAATTTGATAGATGTCTTAATTTATTCAAATTTCAATTCTAATTTTTTCCGTGATAATTTAAAAGGAAAAAGGAATGAAATTAAGACGACATCACAATCAATCTCTCATAATTTATTTTAATACAATTATTCAACTTAATTAATTAGATCAAAAGAAAAGATCAACTTCGGAAGTTACATTTGTTTTTTTTTGTTTTTTTTTTTTTTAAATGACTGATTTTTTTAGCAAAAATGAAAAAAACATTTTGTATTTGTCATTGTATTATTTTATTTTGTTCCAATTATCTAATCCTGCTAGATTGCATAAACATTTTTATTTTTTTTTATTGAAATTTATTTCCAAAAAATCATTTTCATTCATATTTTTTATTAATTAAAACAATTTATTCTATCATTGAAAAAAGTTTAAAATATTTTAAAATAAAAATTTTAGCCAAACGAAAATAAAAAAGAAAATCACACATCTTTTCGTTATTGTTCATTAACTTCAATCGTAAACATTGCCATAAAATCCAATCTCCCCTCTCTCTCTCTCTCTCTCTCTCTCTCTCTCTCTGTCTCTCTTTTTTTCTCTCTCATATATATATAATCGAATAATCTCTTAACTATATCATTCCACTGATGAAAGCAAGTCGAAAAATCAGCGAAATTCATAAAACTTTCCAAATATTTCTTATAAGTGTTTTTTTCTTTCTTTTGCAATTATTTCATCTAAATGAAAAAAATTGAATTATTTTTGAAAAAAATTAATTAGTATCACAATATGCTATGCTATATGCATTAAAAATTAAATGGTTTCCTCAGAGAGGTATTCTCGAATTTCCGGTTTACCGGAATAACAACACAGCATTACAGACAGTTGCCCACAGGTAGGTGTTAAACCAGAATAATTAATCATACAACCCGAAGCAATTTATTATTTATATTTTATTACTGCATTTAATTATTTTATATTTCTTGCTGGTCATTAACTGATCAAATTAGTATTTCTAAACTTAAAACTTAATTAAAATTGCATAAAACAATAATTACAAATAAAAAAGTACAAAAAAAAGTAGCGAAAAATGAAAGGATGAAATATAAAAAATAAAAAAAAAATATTTAATCAATCAAATTTTTGAATAATTCAGAAAATTTCCGAATTTTTTTTTCAGTATTAAATTGTAACTATTC